AACAAACATCGGTTATTATCAGGGACCGGTATCTCGTATTGTGCTGATCAGATTGAGTTTAGCTAACAGATCCAAGGTATAATACATGTATTTATTTACGGCTGTGCTTATCAATGACATCCATTCTCATAATCACATGTATCGCGCATATACACGCTGGCACACAAGTCGAGCAACTAATCTACCCCAGAGTGAATCTCACCCATAAACACAATTGTCGTCAATGAAATAAATTATGTAATTCTAGCAAGACACGATAAGTTCTCAATAACAACCTTATCGCCAGTCTAATGATATAGAACAATCGAGATAAGGCAAGTTTGCAATGACAACCTTATCGACGTTCCAATAACGCCAAATAAAAATAGGATTATTTGAGGTCAGTGGAATATGTGTAAATACGGAAGACAGTCCCAAATCACCCTGTGGCTGTCTATTCAGGTAAGTAGTTTTACTATTGTCTACCTTGTCAAATCGTATCTATATGCTAGTACATCTTAACTTTTGTATCTTAACTGTAGGCTACTGGTAGTACATCCAAGTTTACTTTGAACATACATTGGTGTATTTCTTGTAACATATTTTGTCTGGCCAACAGAGACTCCCTACACATAGCATTATCAACATTATTAGTTGTAGGTTTGCAGTATATACTGAGGGGGGATTACTCTCGTCGGATTTCCTGTAAAAGGCCATGTGCTCACAGCACCAGCCACTGTTCACATAAGAGTTCCTATTAAAGCTTTCTAACCCGAAGCTTAACCTTGTAACTTCTTTACACTTGTCAAATATTCTGTTAACGAAATATTATTTTCAATTTGGTTTCATTCTATTACACTGTTCACCTTTTATTATAAGCTGTGTCAGAATGTATGCTGTTTGAACGCCAACTGGAGTGATGTTTTGTGTACAGTGTGTCAGATATATAACACTGAGTCATGCATACACTATTGTCTTACGTTGGTTAAGTATATAATGGCGTACTTGTTTAATGTAATTGCTGTTGTTGGTATGTATCCACTTCAATAAATGAGTTTAACATTTTGATGAAACGTTGTAAATATTCTATAGAAGACTAATCTTGTACATGACTCTGTGACTGACTAATAAATTAGTCGAACATCTTCTCAGGTCTTGTGTTGTTGTACAGGTTGGTTCTGTACCGTCGTACCTCTGCTGAGCGGGCTGATTCTTCAACACCCTTAATATTGTCGTGTATCGCGGTCTGACATACCCTGTACACTTCACAGGACATTAAAGGCTGGATCACGCCTCAGTGTTTTTTGAGGGGGTGGGGGTGCGGGTGCGGTGTGTGTGTGTGTGTGTGTGTGCGTGCGTGCGTGCGTGCGTGCGTGCGTGCGATTTCCATTACTGGTATCTGTTCACTAATCCCAGTCACATAGTACTGATAGAAGGATTTTCTGTGACAATTAACAAAAACAAAACGAAACAGACCATGTGGTACACGTCCAAATCGGGAATAGCATCGGACACCATTTCAGCTATAAGGGACGTTTAGAAATGGCCTCAACATGTCCACCATGAAAGGTTTTGAAAGCTCCACTGAGGCCTTGAATGTTGTCATTCTTATCAGAGTTGGAGAAGAGTCGCATGACGCTTTTTAGAACTTGGTTGTACCTCAAATGTTGTCAATTGCACACACCAAAAGCGGGAGGTGGTGGAATTCTACTTCTACGTCTGTTTCTAAAGGTCTGCTCGATAATTTTTGTCACATTGCTTTTCTATAAATAGTACAGATGTGAATCAAACCAAGCAGTTTCACTGGGTCTCCCTCTGTCGGCACGGTGGCTTTTCTGTGACATTTAGAAATATGTGATGCTCCCTTGTTTTAAGTGAAATCAAGTGACTGGGCAGTGTCGGATGTGGGCGAGAGAACACAAATCAAACGTGTCAAGCGTTGTACGAGTCTAGGATCCACATCCCAGGTAAATATACATATGTTTGACATAACATTGGCCGTATATAACGCTATAACCCGCTAATTTCTCACAAGAGACATTTACATGTTCAAAGTTTCCAGTAAAAAGGGAGCAGTCATTGGGTTTATGTGTACCGTGTTGTCGTTTTGAAGTTTCAGTACGGTAGTTATGGAAATATATTTACATGATAGGGAAGCCTATATATTGTAGCTGTATACACCAGGCAGGGGAACTGTGTATATTGTAGCTGTATACACCAGACAGGGGAACTGTGTATATTGTAGCTGTATACACCAGGTAGGGGAACAGTGTATATTGTAGCTGTATACACCAGGCAGGGGAACTGTGCATATTGTAGCTGTATACACCAGGTAGGGGAACAGTGTATATTGTAGCTGTATACACCAGGCAGGGGAACTGTGTATATTGTAGCTGTATACACCAGGCAGGGGAACTGTGTACATTGTAGCTGTATACACTAGACAAAGGAACTGTGTACATTGTAGCTGTATACACCAGGCAGGGGAACTGTGTACATTGTAGCTGTATACACCAGGCAGGGGAACAGTGTATATTGTAGCTGTATACACTAGACAGAGGAACTGTGTACATTGTAGCTGTATACACCAGACAGGGGAACTGTGTATATTGTAGCTGTATACACCAGACAGGGGAACTGTGTATATTGTAGCTGTATACACTAGACAAAGGAACTGTGTACATTGTAGCTGTATACACCAGACAGGGGAACTGTGTAGATTGTAGCTGTATACACCAGGCAGGGGAACTGTGTATATTGTAGCTGTATACACTAGGCAAAGGAACTGTGTACATTGCAGCTGTATACACCAGGCAGGGGAACTGTGTAGATTGTAGCTGTATACACCAGGCAGGGGAACTGTGTATATTGTAGCTGTATACACTAGACAGAGGAACTGTGTACATTGTAGCTGTATACACCAGGCAGGGGAACTGTGTACATTGTAGCTGTATACACCAGGCAGGGGAACTGTGTATATTGTGGCTGTATACACTAGACAAAGGAACTGTGTACATTGTAGCTGTATACACCAGGCAGGGGAACTGTGTATATTGTAGCTGTAAACACTAGACAGAGGAACTGTGTACACTGTAGCTGTATACACCAGCCAGGAAAACTGTGTATATTGTAGCTGTATACACCAGACAGGGTAGCTGTGTATATTGTAGTTGTATACACCAGACAGGGGAACAGTGTATATTGTAGCTGTATACACCGGACAGGGGAACAGTGTATATTGTAGCTGTATACACCAGACGGAGTAACTGTGTATATTGTAGCTGTATACACCAGACAGGGGAACAGTGTATATTGTAGCTGTATACACCAGACACGGGAACTGTCTATATTGTAGCTGTATACACCAGAGAGAGTAACTGTGTATATTGTAGCTGTATACACCAGACAGGGTAACTGTGTATATTGTAGCTGTATACACCCGACAGGGTAACTGTGTATATTGTAGCTGTATACACCACACAGGGTAACTATGTATATAGAAGCTGTATACACCAGACAGGGGAACTGTGTACATTGTAGCTGTATATGCCAGACAGGGTAACTGTGTACATTGTAGCTGTATACACCAGACAGGGGAACTGTGTAGATTGAAGCTGTATACACCAGACAGAGTAACTGTGTATATTGTAGCTGTATACACTAGACAGGGCAACTATGTATATTGTAGCTGTATACACCAGACAGGGTTACTGTGTATATTGTAGCTGTATACACCACACAGGGTAACTGTGTACCTTGTAGCTGTATACACCAGACAGGGGAACTGTATACATTGTAGCTGTATACACCAGACAGGGGAACAGTGTACATTGTAGCTGTATACCCCAGACAGAGGAACAGTGTACATTATAGCTGTATACACCAGACAGAGGAACTGTGTACATTGTAGCTGTATACACCAGACAGGGGAACATTAAACATTGTAGCTGTATACACCAGACAGGGGAACTGTGTACATTGTAGCTGTATACCCCAGACAGGGGAACTGTGTACATTGTAGCTGTATACACCAGACAGGGGAACATTAAACATTGTAGCTGTATACACCAGACAGGGTAACTGTGTACATTGGAGCTGCATACACCAGACAGGGGGGCTGTGTACATTGTAGCTGTATACACCAGACAGGGGAACAGTGTATATTGTAGCTGTATACACCAGACAGAGTAACTGTGTACATTGTAGCTGTATACACCAGACAGGAGAACAGTGTACATTGTAGCTGTATACACCAGACAGGGTAACTGTGTATATTGTAGCTGTATACACCAGACAGGGTAACTGTGTACATTGTAGCTGCATACACCAGACAGGCAAACTGTGTATATTGTACCTGTATACACCAAACAGGGTAGCTGTGTATATTGTAGTTGTATACACCAGACAGGGGAACAGTGTATATTGTAGCTGTATACACCAGACAGGGTAACTGTGTAGATTGTAGCTGTATACACCAGACAGGGGAACAGTGTATAGTGTAGCTGTATACACCAGACAGGGGAACAGTGTATATTGTAGCTGTATACACCAGACAGGGTGACTGTGTACATTGTAGCTGTATACACCAGACAGGAAAACTGTGTATATTGTAGCTGTATACACCAGACAGGGTAGCTGTGTATATTGTAGTTGTATACACCAGACAGGGGAACAGTGTATATTGTAGCTGTATACACCGGACAGGGGAACAGTGTATATTGTAGCTGTATACACCAGACGGAGTAACTGTGTATATTGTAGCTGTATACACCAGACAGGGGAACAGTGTATATTGTAGCTGTATACACCAGACGGAGTAACTGTGTATATTGTAGCTGTATACACCAGACAGGGGAACAGTGTACATTGTAGTTGTATACACCAGACACGGGAACTGTGTATATTGTAGCTGTATACACCAGACAATGTAACTGTGTATGTTGTAGCTGTATACACCAGAGAGAGTAATTGTGTACATAGTAGCTGTATACACCACACAGGGAAACTGTATTGACTGAAGCTGTATATTTCAACTAGGCGAAATGTGCAGAAAGCAGAATAATGAAAGTGCAATACGATGTCGCCTTCGTCACAAGTGTACAGATATCATGTTGATTCAATGATTAACAGACTTGCTTGTTTAGATAGTCTATTTTCAGCCTGTGATATCAGGAAATGGGCCTGGGTAGGTCATTGTAGCTTCTGTATTCATGCCCTAGTTAGGTCCCGTCTTCAACTGCAACTACACGGGTAAGAAAGCTGTATCATTACATTTGCTATATACACAATTTGAAATACACCTACTGCCCATATTGTAATTCATGTTTGGAATTGTGTTATGTGTAAATTCTCTGGTATTTGACGTTGACGTCTCGTTGTGTTACCTTCCCCTGGGTGTACGTTCCAGGAATCGATGCAGTCCCACAGCCAGTTCCACAGTACAGGAAACATGATACATGTCGGCGTGTTAATCCCATACAGATTTTCTCACGCTTTTGACAGTGGTCGCGACAGCCAGTCCAGTACACACGTACTTAATGTAGGATTCATTATCTTAACATTGCTCGTCGGCTATATCACTGACCTCAGGCATTACGTTGTGTTTTGTCGTATGTCTCTTCATATGCTGACTGAGCGCGTTAAGGGTCTGTGTGTCCAAGTGTATGAACTGCTGGTTTACGGTGAGTTTAAGGGCGCCATAAATCAGTTGTTAAAAAAATCGCACGGAAGGCCGGGGTTCTCATAATGGCAAGGGCACATTATGTGAAGCCGTGTTAGTGCAGGAATATTACTTAAAGCAGCACTCCGCCACTCACTCATTACACTTGATTTAATCCCAGTTAGGGTGAATCACGAGGGGCTAAAAGTTTTGAGCCTAAAATGCTTCTGATATGTGCATGATAAAAATAACTGTATGATATTGAAGAATGGTTTATATCATTCAAATACACGTAATATTGACATGCAGATGTCGCTAGTTTCCGGTCACGTGACATCTAATCTAAACCTCTATTGAAACGGCAGAAATTGATAAGCTTGGGTACAGAGCAGTCATAAAGTTTTTGTCGGGGCAACCCGGCGAAGCGTATTGAAGAGCGATTGACAGCAGTATGAGTACCCCATGGGACTCAGTACAGTACATCAATATCATACAGTTATTTTTATCATGAACATATCAGAAGTATTTTAGGCTCAAAACATTTTGATAGCCCTTTGTATCTACAGTTCAATGTTAAGCAACAAATAGCCGGCGGAAGTAAATGAATGTTCTGGGCCAGAACGGTTACAACATGGAAGGTTTCAGTAAACATTTCGAATTGTGTTCTGGTGGATGGATAATTTCTGAATTGACACATATGTGGTAAACATTGTCCTCATTATGGTGTTATGGCTGTGCAATGGATTTTATCGCTTGTATGGGTGTATACTGTATGTATATTATTGTAACTTTAAACAAAACATGTACAGACCCGTGCCCGTTATATTCGGACACTTGACGTAACTTCCATAGACTCACATGCTAATTTAGTGTAGCATAAATAATTTTCATTAATTTAATTTTCGTATGATCCAAGTCAAATTTTGCACATTTCTTACCTACAATCACATAATTTCTGTTTAATTTTCCGTTGCTTATTTATTGAATGGCAACAATTTAATCAACATATGTACAGTGCCGTGAGCTCCTTTAACATGGCGGCCTATGAGATTGTGCAGTGTGGAACTATACGTAAGTTGATAAATGTGATGTCATTAGTTAAATAGGGGCGGTGGGGTAGCCTAATGGTTAAAGCGTTGGCTCGTCACGCCGAAGACCCGGGTTCGAATCCCCACATGGATACAATGTGTGAAGCCCATTTCTGGTGTCCCCCGCCGTGATGTTGCTGGAATATTGCTAAAAGCGGCGTAAAACCAAAACTCAGTCAGTCAGTCAGTTAAATAGTGGTCGGAAAATTGAACTGAAATTATGTGCGCAGACAAGAGATGATTTCAAATTTGCCTGTCAAATTTTACAAAGATCTATCGTAAACTCACCTCATAAACATTATTTATGCTACACTGAAATAACATGTAAGTCTATGGAAATGACGTCAAGTGTCCGAATATAACTGGCACGGGTCTGTAGGTTGTGAGATTGGCATAACAAGCTCCCGATAGCAGTCCGCAAATAAGCACCGAGTACGATACGTTTGCCGGACCGTATTCTGATGATGCTTCATATATGACCTTTTGTTTTTAACAACTGTAACTTCCTTTGAATGCTTTTTTGTTTTATTTATGAATGGGGGCTAATGCGACAACGCGACATTTTAAAATGTCAAAGGGTATGGCCCTGCCACCCACATTAAAGCTAATTTGCACATTTTAGATGGGACCACATACATTGATCATAAACATGTCCCTTTTTCTCATTGTCGTATCCTGTTTTGGATTGATGTGTATGATGGTCTATCACTGGATTGTCTGATCAAGACCACATTATTCACAGATGATCCATGATCGGTATCCAACAACAAGGGGCATTAACTGTACTGAAGTAATAACCGATCTGCTGATCAATACAGACAAACGTGAACTGGTCTTGAGTGTTACTGGCGGTGAGTAGTTCTAACCATTCATCCTTGCACCACATTTGAAAATTTGAAAATAAATAGAGAATCTCTGAACCTTGTATCTAAAATATTGACCCAGGTTGTATAAATGGCAAGACTATGGCGTCCGGATGTTAAAGTTCTTCAGTATAACTCAGACGAAATGAATGATTGTGAGTGAAAAGCACTCCTGTATGAGTATGCCTTGGCTTTGAATATGTACATTCTGTACATTGTACAGGATGAATTCTCTAAATATACACATGAGCATTAATCATGGAGGAACCACATGTAGTTAAGTACGATAACACTTCTCAACATATATATACTTTGAAAACCAAATTTCGCGTATTAAAATGCTAACTGTAACATGTTTCACTTTAACAAATTACTTGCAATCTGAGAGGAATACACGGATAGGTGAATATCTACAATGCCGGAAAGTATGGTCACAATGACTGCTGTTCTGTTGTGATTGTATGGACCGCAACTGGCGACCACATCAGTACCTGGTGAACCACCCCTCGCATGGATGACAAGCAGGCGTCTACTTCTCAGCATTGAAATCCTCTCCAGTCCTCATTCAGTGTCTGTGTCAATTAGTGCATTTTGAACAAGAGGACCTTTAGCTTGGACTTGGCGTCCAAGATAGACACAAATATTTTCAATCGGGTCAGGATAATGTTTCGATGACGTTGCTCTGCAAATGGGAGATGACAGCTCGATAACGGTTAGACCCGTGAAGATCAGGGTTACAATTGATCTTCAGTAACCCATGCTTGTCGTGAGGGGCGAATAATGGGATCGTGTTCCGTGGTCAAGTTCGCTGACTTGGTTGGCACTTGGTTGTCATCGTATCCCAGTTGCGTAGATCAATGTTCATGCTGTTGATCACTGGGTCGTCTGGTCCAGACTCGATTATTTACAGACCGCCGCCATATAGCTGGAATACTGCTGAGTGCGGCGTATAACTAAACTCACTCACTCTGTGTTAGTTCTAATCTTGTCATCCAAGAATATAGGGCAAATGGCAAGGGGAAGAGAATTCCTGTTGATAACGTTGACCATTGACTGTCCCAGGTAATGTAATGAGATTCAACTTGATCCATACGAAACGCAATCCAACATTATCACTGAGCCACCACCCAATGGTTCAGCTGTGTGAATCATCTACTGGTGATATGTCTCGTTACGACGTTCCATCGGTAACGTGCAGAAGATATCGACTTTCATCAAAGCAATGGAACTTACTCCATATCCTGTAGATGCGGTTTTCTCTGAGCCGACAACACGAGAGACGTTTCTGTCCATGCCTGACTGTGAGCAAGGGACGTTCCCTCAGACCAGGAGACCGCAGCCTCATTCTGATGGTACTGGAGAAGTCAGACTTCCCTCCATTTTCCATTGTCAGCGGTGTGCTTCGGATGGGACTCAGGGTCAATCTTCTTCAGGGTCTTGGACGATCTTGTACTTAACCAGTGGCCTCTTCAGTCGATGCTCAAACTGCGACGGGACATCAATGCATCCTGCGTACTTTCTGAAAGTCTACGTCGTACCAGTCAATTCCTTTGGATCAGTTCAGAAAACTGTAGTGGACGAACTGCAACTATGAAATTTATACCCCTACTGGCTTGATATGAACATGCTTTTGAGAGACTGTGTGATGCTAGGACACGATCGCCTGTTTTGACCGGTGGTTTGAAACTTGCCATTGATGCAGGTGGTGCTTAATTAATGCTCGTTTGTACACGTGCACGGGACATTATCTAGCAATATAGCATACATCATCTTACTTAGTCATATACAAGACTTTCATCAGCCCGCACTTCCGGACCGTTTTATGTTAATTTTGCACATTTACGATGTAAACGTATTTCATTAACAGAAAATTGCTCATGAAGTGAAAACCTTTTAGCATGGCAAACGACAAAAGTCATCATAACACAAAGGCTGACATTGTAGAATGCAAACATCATTATCAAACACAGCTTAGTAATTATGCAGATTCTGGACATTCCGCCACGAAGGGGACTCCCCTCATGTTTGATAGATTGTGTACAGATAATAGCTGTGACATCTTTCTTTGTTTCGTCAGTTCGCGTTACAGGAATACATAAACTGCGTCATCATGGCACTGAACATCCCTGGACTCATCTCCGTCATCGTGTTCTACGTCCTCATCCTCGTCATCGGCATCATCGCCGCCAGGAAGAGCAGAAACAGTAACGCCGAAGACTCATTCGTGGCCAATAGAAGCATCGGGCTGTGGCTGTCGTTCTTTACACTTACTGGCAAGTAGAGATACTACACTCACTTCATTTTTATGAGTTTTTTGTGCTAATAACAACCATGAGTATTTTCTTTCATAATTATCCGATCATACTTAACTTTCGACAGAGACATACTATTTTTCCATTAAATACGATTCTCATAATACGTCAATACAATTGATACTGTAACTCATACTAAAAATGCTTCGACATTTAGGATGTTTCATTTGTTTTATCGTAACTTATGATATACTGTCACACGTCCTCAGCAACCAATGTCGGGGGGAGGCTACCTCAACGGCACAGCGGAGGCGATGGCATACAGCGGCCTCGTGTGGACCAATGTTCCTGTTCTGTACTGCATCTCAATCACCATTGGTAAGATGAACATATGAACCACATTGGTAAGATGAACCCATGAACCGCATTGGTAAGCTGACCCAACGAACCACATTGGTAAGATGAACCTATGAACCACATTGGCAAGGTGAACCAATACTCCACTCACAGTAAAATCATACATTCAATATGTAATCGAGTATCACCATTTCTTGACTAGGGACGTTGTTACAAGAAATTAAAAGTCGTTGAAGTCTTGTTGTCATGTTAGCTTATTCCCACAGCTTGACAAACAGGTGTTTCTGAAATGTTGAGTACCAGGAAATTGGACACACATGTTTCACGATGAGAAACCGTTGACATTTGGACTGCAGCATACATACATAGCTTCTAGTTGCAGTGATTTCTGACTGAACGGATGCTTATACGGGTGTTTGCCTTATGGATGATAGGTTTATAGGTCAGTGTTTGTCTGTTTAGTCTTCACATGCGACTGGTCTGTGTTACTACCCATCTACGGGACGCCACACCAGTGTGTGGTAGATTCGGGATGTGGAACCAGTGGCATGAAAACTACAAACACTTGCACAGGCAGGGCATGTGTCCACTCGAATAAACACTGGAACCTATGGCACAAGCCAAAACAATGACATAATTCCTACAATAGCTCGCACAACCATGAAATGTTTTGAAGGCGTTTGATATTGCAAACGTGATCAAACACCTTCTGAGCAAGAGGTCTATGTTCTACACCATGTTTCAATTTATGAGAAACATTTCCAGTATGAAAAGAAATTCTATGTAGGATTCCGATTTTAGCATTGTTGTGTTCTTGAATCACTACCAATAAGTTGTGACAAGTTTTGTCTTCCACCCTCGTTAGTTTATGTTTGAAATGGTTAGCGTCATTTTAGCTCATTTCATTTAAATACATAAACTGTATATTAAATAAATCTTCAGCTGGAGTGTTCTACGCGCCTAAGATGAGGAGAGGTGGATACATCACCATGTTCGACCCCATACAGGCAAAGGTTGGCGGTCGTGCCGGGAGTATGCTCTTCTTCCCGCAGCTTATGGGAGATGTCTTCTGGACTGCAGCCATCTTGTCAGCTCTGGGTAAGATCATACAAGTCAAAGCTACATGAACTGGAATCCAAAACATAAAAAACATACGAGGTGGGAGTGGACGGGGTCCATTTTGATTAAAATGATAGTCCAGAGTCATTGTCACAGCATTATCTAAGATAATATAGATTAACATCGAGGGTGAAATTGGATCCATACTTGTCTTGTAGAACTGATATAGGGGTAACACAACAAAGGATAAATACTTGTCTTGTAGAACTGATATGGGGATAACACACCAAATGATAAATACTTGTCTTGTAGAACTGATATGGGGTAACACAACAAAGGATAAATACTTGTCTTGTAGAACTGATATGGGGGTAACACAACAAAGGATAAATACTTGTCTTGTAGAACTGATATGGGGGTAACACAACAAAGGATAAATACTTGTCTTGTAGAACTGATATGGGGGTAACACAACAAAGGATAAATACTTGTCTTGTAGAACTGATATGGGGGTAACACAACAAAGGATAAATACTTGCCTTGTAGAACTGATATGGGGTAACACAACAAAGGATAAATACTTGTCTTGTAGAACTGATATGGGGTAACAAACAAAGGATAAATACTTGTCTTGTAGAACTGATATGGGGTAACACAACAAAGGATAAATACTTGTCTTGTAGAACTGATATGGGGGTAACACAACAAAGGATAAATACTTGTCTTGTAGAACTGATATGGGGGTAACACAACAAAGGATAAATACTTGCCTTGTAGAACTGATATGGGGGTAACACAACAAAGGATAAATACTTGTCTTGTAGAACTGATATGGGGGTAACACAACAAAGGATAAATACTTGTCTTGTAGAACTGATATGGGGGTAACACAACAAAGGATAAATACTTGTCTTGTAGAACTGATATGGGGGTAACACAACAAAGGATAAATACTTGTCTTGTAGAACTGATAACGGGGTAACACAACAAAGGTTCCGTGCTTGAGTTCAAACACTGGTATGGACTCATAACACTGCCTCAGATAATAAAGATTAAGATAAGATAAGAAAAGTATATCTTAGTAAAATAATTGTAACGAACTACCGTTATAACTCACAAAAGGATCCATGCTTGTCTTGCAGATTTGGTATAAGTGTAACACACAACTGATCCATGCTTGTCTTGCAGGTTTGGTATAAGTGTAACACACAACTGATCCATGCTTGTCTTGCAGATTTGGTATAAGTGTAACACACAACTGATCCATGCTTGTCTTGCAGGTTTGGTATAAGTGTAACACACAACTGATCCATGCTTGTCTTGCAGGTTTGGTATAAGTGTAACACACAGATGATCCATGCTTTAGAGATTTTACGTGTGAAGCACAACAGGGGTTACACTGAATAATGTTCTGTAACTGAAAGCCCAACTTCCCCATGTTACAGGGTCCACCATGTCCCTTATCCTGGACCTGGACCCTGTTCTATCCATCATCGTGTCCAGCTGTGTGTCCGTGTTCTACACCTTTATAGGTGGGCTGTACTCTGTGGCCTACACTGATGTCATCCAACTCATCTGTCTCTCCGTGGGACTGGTAAGGATATTACACTGTGATGAGATTAAAACTAAGAATTCTTAGAAAATATAGCTTTTACTCAAATGGACTATACATTTCAATCAACAAATATATTTTCATTTCAAATAAGACCATTCTGTCCTGCCTGCTTACCATCATTTGGCAATCAGTCACTTTATGTTAAGCTGGATTGAAATAAATTCGATGTGGAAGTACTGAACTGTCTTCATTTTGTTCAGATTGTGTCATGTCCCTTTGCCTTCTTCCACCCATCTGTTGACCTGTCCAGAGTCCAGGACACTTGGGTTGGTGAGATACACAGAAACCAGATCGGTTCTTATGCAGATCTCTGTTGCCAAATCATATTTGGCGGTCTACCATGGCAGGTATGCTACACATTTGTTGATACTATCACTTCCAAATCATTTTCGATTATTTGTTTCGGGAAGTATGAACTTGATGCTGAACTCATTTAATCCATCACGTATGTCCTTTATGGAAACCTGACGGCAGAAAAGGCCCAGTGTAGTTGGCAACCATGTCTTTAAAGGTGTTTTTCGTGCTATTTTTTCAATAGTGTATTAATTGCATAGGTCGTTGACGGTTACGTGAACTGAGCTATAGAATAGGTCAGTTTCCGTCCAGATGATTTCGATGCGACTCGTTTCCTTTCTGATCAGCACCATTTCGCTATGTGACTGGATGAGTTCATTCAAAGTGTACACTGCACACTGATATATGCATGTACTCATGGAAACGAATAAGGGAACACATGGAAGTACAAGTGTTCCTTTATGTATTTCGAGAATTTCACCCACAGCAATACATACCTTGTGACGAACCCTGGAAAAGAATAAAGGAACACTTGTACTTTCATGTGTTCCCTTATTTGTTTCCGTGAGTATAAAATTCATGAAATTCAGCGATATAGGTTGGGCTACAACAAACAAGTTGACAAACAGTATTACTATTACTTCACACGTGTTTCGGATTGACACACTCTGAGGTACATTTACGGACATGAACTTCTGTAATATGAGGAACTCGTCGTTCTGGAGCATTAGCAATATGCAAACCCGAAAACATGACATTTGCTATGGATAATAACTTCATTTATTTCTAACTGCAGCGTTTCAGAGCTACTTCTTGCTGCTTTTATTTCTAACTGCAGCGTTTCAGAGCTACTTCTTGCTGCTTTTATTTCTAACTGCAGCGTTTCAGAGCTACTTCTTGCTGCTTTTATTTCTAACTGCAGCGTTTCAGAGCTACTTCTTGCTGCTTTTATTTCTAACTGCAGCGTTTCAGAGCTACTTCTTGCTGCTTTTATTTCTAACTGCAGCGTTTCAGAGCTACTTCTTGCTGCTTTTATCAGGTAACAAAGAACATTAGGAGTTCATGTATTCATGTTCATCCAACTTCTAAATACCTCTCAAAGACTTCAATATCTAAAACCTGTAAGTGAATTTCATTACAGTATGAAATATCCTAGACTAAGAAGTACAAGTTTACAGTTGAGAATTACGAAATATAATGTATGTTGACAAATTTGAAAATATAAAGATACGGATCTGCCCCATCCAATTCCCCACCAGGAGAGAAGATAACTCCGGCTAACAATGTACTATTACAAGAGAGCAAAACCCTAGGCCGTTAGTAACCCAGCAATATGTTCACCATTCATGAAGATTCATGTGACAGACCTCTGGTTCAGTTATTTAGTGTGAACGTTATTGATATCATGTGATTGTGTGTGTATTGTGCTTGTAAATCCATGAACATTTGTTTTACAGGTGTTCTACCAGAGAGTTTTGGCTTGCAAGACACCAAGTATTGCCCGTACAAGTTCTATCCTGGCAGCGCTGTGTAGCTTACTTCTTGCCATACCCCCAGCGGCTGTTGGAATAGTTGGATCCGCAACAGGTTTTGTAATGAATGATCTATTCAATTGAGAATTATTGTTTTAAAATTTGAAATTTGAAATTTTTGTATTAGCATTTCGAGCTTTGGTGTATAGGATGCGCTGTTCACAAAAGTCTTTCTATTGTCAATATGAATCAGTGTTCCTAATAGCCAGGGGCATGATGACATCAGCGTGTCATACCAGCTGAGTTCACACCTTGCGTCTGGTGATACATTTCATCATTTCTCACGTCAAAACCAGTGTATGTATCGCCCCAGCGTTCTAATTCTGTCACGACACTGAACTGTAACTTTGCAGAGAGACGTTTAGCAGCGAAAATATGACGTTTTCTTCACGATACCGTAAACGTTACATACTACGTGACATACTATTTATGATTCATGTATGTACATCATTTTGAAAAGGAATTATTCCATACGTCCTTTTGGTCAAGTGTGAATTTGATGAATTACATAAGTGCGTTCAGGACATAAAACTCCGATTTTATTAAGATCATAAAGGTTTCAACAACCGATACTGTAGAAAGTAGCGAGTGTGTTTGATCTACAACCACTTTTTTGACAGTATTCCAGTTATATCATGACGTGGTTTTCACACCTATTCTGCCCTTAACGTCTCAAGAAATCGTTATAAGTTTATAGTTAATATGCCCAGAAACCCCGAAGTAATGCAGCTAGATAAAACCCACGAGCACGGGCATTGTGCTGACAAATACAAATACCATTAGTTTGGACGACTGTTGCACATGGAGGCAAACAGATATTCTTCAGCATATGTCGGGGTGTTAAGAAATACGTTTGGAAATTGAAATAAACACTGCTTAGTACTTAGTCCCATTTTCAAACGTCGCCGAATTGTATCCCGTCTGTGCTAGTAGATATTTCGAAGATACGAACTGATTTTTCCTTGTCACTTTGGAATCTTAAAGCACAAGCATATTGTTTTTTCAGATTGGAATGCCACAACCTACGATGGCGAAATCCCAATACCAAAAGAATATCATAGCTTTGTCCTTCCCATGGTGCTCAACTACCTGTGTCCACTTCCGGTGGCAGTGTTGGGACTGGGTGTGGTGGCAGCTGCTGTCATGTCATCTGCCGACTCCTCGGTCCTCTCTAGTGGAACCATCTTTGCTAAGAATATCTACAAAGACGTCATACGTCCACAGGTACAGAGAGAACACTTCATAAAGCGCCTATAGCGAGTGGATGAGTTAAAACGTAAAGTCCCAACGGCAATATTTCTGCCATATCGTGACTAAAACTAGTTCTAAAGTCATAATGCATATAATATATAAAACCTTGTCAGCGAAAGACAGTAAAATTACTAGATTTTCACAAAATGAGTTAAAACTAACTAGCATATTTCTTTAAAAGTAGAAAACTAGTTTTGGACAATACAATGTAAGATAGCTATAGATCGCCAGCAGTGAGTGAGTGAGTTAATATTTAATGTCACATCGGAAATATTTCAGCCATATCGTGACGAGAACATATTTGACATTAAAATGGAATATATGTATATTATAAAAACCTGTCGACGAAAGACAGTAAAAACAACTAGAATATCACAATTACAACTAAAACTAGTGTGGAAAGTTAAAACTGATAGCACTATTTGGACAATACAATATGTAAACAGGCTACAGATCGCCAACAACTAAAGGTAGATCACCATACTTGGGACCATGGGACTTACACTGCCTTTGCTACCTACATGGACACTAGCTGGATTTACACCATCCCTTCAGCGACGGGTAATTGTAGTAAAATCTAGCCATAAGTTAAAATTACAAAAATATTACGTTTAAAAAGCTGGTTTACAAGTATAAATTTACCTTGAATGTTTTGGGACGTACGTACCCCTACAGTAAAGCGCTTAGAATGGGTGATGCTTTCTGTTCCTCAGAAAGCATCCCTTTCAAATGGAATAAGCGATCGTCTAACTTCTCGTTTCCGGTTTGGTTCCAGACTCGACGTGCTACATGTAACGCGTTATACTGTTTGTGTTGTACTTTCATTAAAAAAAGTCTCATACAATGCCAATAACTGACACATATTTTGACGTTTTTGTTAGCTTAGAAAAGCATCATTTGTTTAATGTCCAAGTACAAAACTAATTGACACGCTGGGAGAACGCCATCTAAATCGGTATGTTGTCGCGGCATTTACAACGTCAGATCACACTTTTGTATGGATGAAATAATGCAAACTCACTTTGTTTATCAGCTTTTGTGCTATTTCTCTCGACATGTCCTTGACTATTGCTTTATTCAAATCTAGCAAATAGTCCTCATTCTAGTAGTAATTATCGGGGATAAGCCTAACATGAAGCACAGGGGCGACCTTTGTCGCGGATGTATGGTTATGACACATCCGTGACTTTATTAATAATTGTAGAAAAAACGTTCAGAAGTTTAATGATAAGTTTTGATCAACAGTTTTTCAAACATCTGAAAATTGCAATTGTTATCCAGTGTGTGACACTATGTTCTTGAAATATACCAAAACGAATATGTACCTTGCATCTGTCATCCAAGCAGTTACTTGTTCTCAGTACAGATACCAGTCATCATCGTTTGAAATATACTTTGAGATTTCTTACAAGCTAATGCTTTTAAAATAAAAAGTAAATAAAAAATGTCTCAACATAAAAACCCTACTGACCACCCCCCAGAGGATGTGTATGATACATTTATGTAAATTTTATATGACGTCTGCATATTCTTGTTTTGGCAATAAATGTTGAAAATTTATTCCCCCAACAAACTATCTATATAAACTCACACGCAAAAGAAACGCAAGTCTAGTAAAAAGTATATATGTACTTATTTTTTAACAGTACAGAATACAAATACCAACAGCGTCAGATATACAGAAATTTGAGCAGTTCATTGGCAACAAAAACAGATGACGACATTACATTTTGTGACAGCAAAAGGGTTGCGCAGATTCTAGTCAATTGCCATGACGTCATTCAATACCTGGTGTGGCCACCATTAGCATTGATCACTGCAACACATCTCCTGTACATGGAGTGGATCAGACGATTCGTAAAGGCCCTGGGGATCCTCCTGCACACACCCAGAACAGCTGTACGAAGTTCATCAGCAGTTGTAGGCACTGGTCGCACTTCATTCAGGCGCCTTTGAACCTCATCCCACAAGTGCTCGATGGGGTTCAGGCCAGGGCTGAGAGCTGGCCACGGTAGGACACGGATGTTGTGATGTTGAAGAAAGTCCATGGTAACTCTTGCAACATGTGGACGAGCGTTATCCTGCTGGAAAAGGTGGTTACGATGTTGGGCGAAACGTGGAACAACATGGGGTCTGATGACTTGGTCAATGTAACGCTGAGCTGTGACCCCATGTCCTCGACCTTGACCCACATTCTGGAAGCACATTGGTCCAAGTCTCGCATTAAGTCAAATTCCCAAAGCATGACACTAGGTCCACCCCATGCATTCCTTTCCAAAACATTTCTGTCAGCAAAACGATCTCCTTGACGTCGCCAAACTCTGACCCTTCCATCTGCATGTGACACACAAAACCGACTCTCATCAGAGAATATGACACGTCTCCATTCACGTTGACGCCAGTTTTGATGACCCTGTGCCCACTGAAGTCGTGCTTGTCGATGCCGTGGTTGGAGGACAGGACGACGTGCTGGTCGGCGACATCGTAGGTTGTTGGAACGAAGACGTCGGATGACAGTGTCACGGCTGATGCGTCGATTATGCGTTCCTATGGTGTCTCGAGCAGTCTGGCTTGCTGCCAGGAAAGGATCTCGCTGGTGTTGACGTGTAATGTGTCGATCTTGTCGAGGGGTGATGACCCTAGGTTGGCCGCTTCGGGGAAGGTCATCTGTAGTCTGCGTTGTGTTGTATCGATGCTGGAGACGGTAGATCGTGGTTATGTTGACATTAAAGTGACGGACAACATCTTGGACAGACTCTCAAGCTTCCAACTGTCCGATAGCCTGATTCCTCTCAAGTTGATTTAAACGTGGCATTGTTGAACAAAGAGTGACTGGCCAAACATTTTGGCTCAGTTTTATACCCACTGAAGATGGTGACAACTCGTGCATGTTTGATTGCATGAGGAAAGTGTGCATGGTGCCCACATCGCCATTGAAGCGGTGCGCTCTGGCGATTCGTTTTTTTCCTTCTGTTCCCACACTGGCTTTGCAAAACGCAAAAGAAAATGTTAACAACACCATCAACCATCATTATTTACCAACGTTGTTATAATTTTAGGGGTCTGAGTTTAATTACTTTCTTTTGAGTAAGAAACGTGCGTTTCTTTTGCGTGTGAGTATAGGTTTCTAGCCTGATTGTAACTCAAAAGTACTCAGAGACAACTGTAGCATTAAGTCTGTTTCTTTGGAATAAATATGATATAGAACATTTGCATCAAATCAAATATTGTTATAACAATAATGCAAACTTAACCCACAATCATTCCATGCAGATATACTTATGTGGAGTAGCTGCTCACAAGTCATGCATGTGTTAAGCTAGAAGTAAAGTATTCATGCACATCATACAAACATATCAAATACAATTATAATGTTGTGCAATACAAATATCTACTGGTGGAAAGAAAAACAAATGGCTGAGTTTACAACAAGGAAACATGAGAAGCAAGTCCTGAAGAAATTAAACATCAGCTTTTTAATGACAATTATAATTATCTGATCATTGAGAAGGCAAACTGCACGCAGGCACAAGTAAAATATTCATCATTTGATGTTGCCATCACCATTCACCATTATAGAGGCTGACATTTAGTATCAATATTTGTAGCTGCTAATTATCCCTGAATATCTATATCAAAATCATGCATACCTTCTTCGGCGTCTGACAAAAAATTCTTCTATTCAAAATTTTAAAAAAATGCCATTTTAATATCTATCCTTAATTCTTCATAATTGAAATATAATATAGTAGCAACTGACTAGCATCGCCTTTTCCTTCACTTTAGGCCAGCGACCGAGAAGTGATGTGGGTCTTGAGAGGTGGTATACTGGTCACTGGTACATTGTCATGCGTGCTTGCCATCATGGTGAAGACGGTATACGGATTGTATTACATGTGTTCCGACCTCATGTACGTCATCCTGTTCCCCCAACTCACCTGCGTTCTCTGGATCGGGTTCACCAACACCTACGGCTCTCTCACCGGCTACATCCTCAGCCTCTTTCTGAGAGTGGCTGCTGGGGACGTCCTCCTTGGAATACCGCCTCTCATTCACTTTCCATATTACACAGAAGCTGACGGCCAATTGTTCCCTTTCAAGACACTGGCGATGGTAGTCAACTTTGTGGCCATCTTATCTGTATCAGCGTTCACTAGGCTTATATTCCGACGAGGCTGGCTGTCCACCAGATGGGATGTGTTTAATGTGATAAAGAGAGAAGAGGACGCCAAGAGAACTGAAGAGAGAGGAGAAAATCTGATGATGAAGGAACGAGATCATGGTAACAGAGACCTGGATTATGCACAAAATGAGAAGATGAAACTTAGGGATAACGACATGCAATGAACCCTTTCTTAGTCATGACGTATATCTAGTCTGACCAATGTGTCAATGTGAATAGATACCAGTAGAGAGAGAGATGGCCAACATAGTTTTTATACAAAGTCTTGTGTATGAAGGACGTTAAGTATATGTCCCAAAGGCAATTTTCATGTCATGGTAGATAATACTTCAGTGTATGGAGTTGACCTCAGTTGCATGGTTTCGATGCTTACAAGAGTGGCGCTTGCTGGAATGTTTAGTATGTTGACCTCAGACACTGATAACATTGGAGAGTTGCTGAAATGTTGAACTGAGATTGCCCGTCATGAAATTATCTCATCATTACGTGTTGAATCCTCGGGCCCCTGTCCATCCCGCCTTGACATACATGTTATCGTAAACAATGTACTATGAATATAGTGAGACGCATGTATTCTTGGCTTTTGTGTTTGTATCCTTCTTTTTCGTTGAATGTGAGTTAAATATACCGAACATCATTGAAAAAGCACCACCTGTATTAGTTTGGATTTCCAAGAGCATAAATGAGCAATCGGTGTAAATTTTGCATACTTTTGTAGTCCAATGATTAGTAAAGAAAAGAAACAAGAACGAATCCAGCAAAACAGTGAAGTTTTAATTCAGCTGACCATGAAAGAAAGATGTAGTCAAATCGGAAAGTCAGTAACGTGTATGACCACCGTTAGCAGCAACATACGCTGTGCAACGTCTCCTCATTGAACTGATAAGTCTCTGAAGAATGTTTTGAGGCAATGCATTCCACTCTTGTGTAGAAGGCATTCTCAAGTTCCCCAAGGTTGTTGATCTGTGGGGGACGTGAGAGGCGTTGGCCGATGTAATCCCACAAGTGTTCAATGGGAGACAAATCTGGTGACAATACAGGCCATGGAAGTAGAGGAATGTTGTTGTTTGCCAGAAACTGTGTTGCAACGCGTGCAGTGTGCGCTCGAGCATTGTCCTGCTTGAATGTGTGCAGTGCAGATCTTGATGTTGGTTAAAGAAGGGAACGACGTTGAGTGGTGTCACGGTAGTAAAGGGCATTCACTCTGCCACGACAAACTACCAGAGCGGTTTTGTGATGATAACTGAACTCCCACACACCATAATGCTGTCTCCACCCCATCGATCTGTTTGCACAACACAGTCCTGATGGTAACGTTCTCCCCGTCGACGCCATACCCGTAGACGCCCGTCAGCATTTCGCAAGTGAAAACGTGAATCGTCAGAGAACACAACACCATGCCAACGTCGTAACAACCACAAACGATGCTGTTCAGCCCATCGTCGGCGTTCACGGCGATGTCTATCAGTCAGGATGGGTCCAACATAAGGGCGTCGACACCGTAATCCTGCCGCACGGAGACGGCGTCGGACGGTGGAAGCACTGATCAAACCACGTCGGCCTTGGACAGCGTTGGCGGTTCTGGCGGCCGGCAACGTACGATCCCGAATATTGCGCCGAACAATGTCTCGATCTTGGCGAGGGGTGGTAACACGTGTCTGGCCAGGACGCTGGCGGTCCCTGGTGGTTCCTGTTTGTTGGTACCTGTTGGCAAGTCTTATGATGGTGGAATGATGGCAACCAAATCGTCTGGCAATAATCCTGCTTGATGTGCCAACCTGCAACATGCCCAACGCCCGTTCTCGTCCCTCTGGTGACAATCTTGGCATTGCAAAATAAACTTTACTAGCGGAGGTACAGCTAAAATGAGAACTGTTTTTTGCCGACGGTCATTTATACCCCTAATCAGCATGTTTTACGCATGCAATTTGTGCTTTTCGTGTGTGTTGTGCATGAATTTTGTTGTTGTCATCTGATGTGTTCCATGATGTGTTCGGGCAATCCGTTCTTTCCTGTACAGCATTATTTATTGTCTTTTGTGTCATTAACAACATTTCCAACGTTCATTTTCACTCTCAAAACAATCCTATTACCATATTTCAAAATTTACAGGTGGTGCGTTATCAATGATGTTCAGTATATATTTGCATAAAAAAATGGACTCGACTATACGTCAGACTCACAGTCAACAAGAGAATAGGTCCAGCAGTCAGAGAGTCTCCCGTCAATCTGGATGCCGTCATTCTGTCACTCTGACAGACAATGGCGGCCGTCACTCTGTCAAACTCGCAGAAAATGGCTCCCGGGACACTGTCACACTGATAGACAATAGTTCCCGGCACACTGTAACACTGACAGACAATGGTTCCCGGGACACTGTCACACTGACAGACAATGGCTGCCGTCACTCTGTGACTCTGAGACAATAGCTGCCGTCATTCTGTCACAGTGGCAGACAATGGCTGCCGTCACCCTGTCATACTGACAGACAATGTTTCCAGTCACACTGTCAAACTGACAGACAATGGTGCCCGGGACACTGTCACACTGTCAGACAACGGTTCCCGGGACACTGTCACACTGTCAGACAACAGTTCCCGAGACACTGTCACACTGACAGAAATGGCTGCGTCACTCTGTCACAGTTGTGGACAATCCCTGCCGTCACTCTGTCACACTGACAGACAATGGTTCCAGTCACACTGTCAAACTGACAGACAATGGTTCCCGGGACACTGTCACACTGTCAGACAACAGTTCCCGGGACACTGTCACACTGACAGAAATGGCTGCGTCACTCTGTCACACTGGCAGAAAATGGCTCTCGAGGCACTGTCACACTGACAGACAATGGCTGCCATCACTCTGTCACACTGACAGACAATAGGTCCCGGGACACACACACTGACAGACAATGGTTCCCATTACACTGTCACACTCACAGACATCGTTTTTTTCTCACTGACCCATCACACTATCTAACCAACAGACTACTTTCCTATTCCTACCATAGAGAAAGGCATCCCTGATAATACATCATTGAAACAGGGCATAGATCGCCATCTGGTGGACAGACAATTGTTCCAGTCACACTGTCACACTGTCAGACAATGGTTCCCGGAACACTGTCAGACTGACAGACAATAGGTCCCGGGACACAAACACTGACAGACAATGGTTCCTATTTCACTGTCACACTCACAGACACCGTTTTTTCCACACTGTCAAACTGACAGACAATGGTTCCCGGGAAACTGTCACACTGTCAGACAACGGTTCCCGGGGCACTGTCACACTGACAGACAATGGCTGCCGTCACACTGTCACACTGACAAACAATGGCTCCGGGCACACTGTCACACTGTCAGACAATGGCTCCGGGGACACTGTCACACTGACAGACAATGGTTCCCGGCACACTGTCACACTGTCAGACAACGGTTCCCGGGGCACTGTCACACTGACAGACAATGGCTGCCATCACTCTGTCACACTGACAGACAATAGGTCCCGGGACACACACACACACTGACAGACAATGTTTCCCATTACACTGTCACACTCACAGACAGCGGTTTTTTTTACACTGACCCATCACACTATCTAACCAACAGACTACTTTCCTATTCCTACCGACAGAGAAAGGCATCCCTGATAATACATCATTGAAACAGGGCATAGATCGCCAGTAAGTTCCTAAATACAAATAAGCTAAAATTACTGCAGTTATACCGTGAGTACACTGAATAGGTCACAGCATCCTGCCAAGCTCTGTTGACCCACCCTGTGTAAATGTCAACGCCACAATCTGTTTTTACTAACGCCAAGTTGTGCCACTTTGGTATCACAAATGTAGTTTTGTAAATTAATAGTGTGTCTTTACTTCTGTTATTCTTGCATATTTTGTGTTTTTTGGCGAGATGTCGAGGTTTTGCTCGTCACATCGGTTATTTTTTTTCAATTTTGAATAGTCTGTTTGTCTTTGAAATTTCTTTAAACAATTAGAAAATTTCGAACTTTTCCCTCTTACTCTTATTATTTGGTATTATTATTTCTCTCAATTCAAATTATTCTTTGAATTGTTTATGTTTTTAAAATACACTTGAAATGACGAGAAATAAAATCCGTACAATAGAAGTAACTAGAAAAATCTCGACATGTCGAACAATAACTTGAAATACCAAGAAATTTCGATTTAAAAGAATACGATTTTACACCCAATGTGGCACCATTAAGCTTCCGTAGCCTTTCAGCCTCCATAGTATGTATAGCTATTATTAGGGAAAACATTCAGAACAGTATCGGACACGCAGGCAGACGTGAATATCCCATTTGCTGACGGAATTTCAGGTTTTGGTTAACACTGGTAAGTTTACCTTAACAGAAAACAGGACAGGTTACAACAGTATTCCAAATAAGCATGCGATGTTCTTTGATACGTGTAACTTATGCTTATCAAAAATGCATCAACAGGGTAAATAAAGTGTTTGATTGGCTTCTGTTAATCATGTTATTCTCGAAACTGGATTGACAGATTAAGAATTTTTTGTATTCAACAGTTTGATAGTTTGCTTCTTTGTGATCGTGGTTTATGATGTTTCTTAATCCACCTACTCGTGGAGATCTGGGATAGAATTGACCTGGAATGTTTTTGAGAGGCGACCATTAGCATCTGTTGGTCAGACTGGAAGTTCTTACAGATCGCCATCATATAGATGTAGTATTGCTGAGTGCGGTGGTTAACAATCACCAAACATACATTCAACATATTGAAAGCAGATGCGCTGCCATGGCCGTGAATATCCCTGGACTCCTCTGCGTCATCGTGTTCTACATCCTCATCCTCGTTATCGGCATCTTCGCCTCTCGTAAACAAAGGAATAACAGTGCTGAAGACACATTTGTGGCGAACAGGAGCATGGGACTATGGCTGTCGTTCTTTACCCTGTCAGGTACGTCAATATTTCCCTTAAATGTACAAGTTTCATTCAAGATGGTACAAATATATAATTTTACGAAAAACAAATATTATATAGTGCAAAGTCACAAATTAAAGACATTAATATTACATAAGGTAACAAACTCCCGAACAGACATTGGATTCGTGGTTGTCTAATGACATTTGCTATATATATGGAAACCCAAGTCCTTTTAACAGAATGAATAGGATAGGAACAGGAATCAGAGAACATAATTTGTCAGCTATTAACCTTTCATTGGTAAAGCCACTTAACTCCTCACAGAACGCTGTATATCAACCCAATGAGGTCATTCAGAGTAATGCTGTAATTATTTGTTGTTACAAATTATTTTGCATGAATTACCAAAATTTATTTACCGTATATTTTACCATTTCACAATTTACATTGGATTGGTATACTGTAATCCTGCTGAAACAAATATCTGCTCATGATATAGTCACAACTGTAGTCGACTCTTATGAATGTGGAAAGGGTTTTGTCGCTTCTATTATAAAAACTATAATAATATAGAGATACGTCTTCAGCTACCAACATCGGTGGAGGCTACATCAACGGCACAGCGGAAGCCATGGCATACAGCGGCCTCATCTGGACCAATGCGCCCATACTGTATTGCGTATCATATGTTATTGGTGAGGTGAATTTAATGAATTTTTTTAGCATCATATGTACATTCTACACGCGCTATAGGCTTCAGAAACGATTTAACAAGTGTACACGAGATGATTGAAAGATAGGAGATGTGTGTTCATAACAGTTTCAAAATGGTGGCGCGTGGTCCTGTGAACAAAACTCAGGTCACAAATCAGTTGAAGTTAAGCAACGGCGAGCTCGGAGAGTCCTTGGATGGGTGGCCGTGTTTGGCAACTTGACTCTTGAGAGTTTCTAGGACTTCAGTCCTGCCCCACAACGAAGCACATCTGAGACAATGTGTCTCACCTTAGGCAAGTGAATTTGTTCAAAATTGCCTATGTTCACCCAGCAGGATAATGGGTACCCGGTGGAAAAAGTCATGTAACTATAACCTTCTAGCGCCTAAGAGGCAGCCCAGGTTATCCGGGGTAATAATGTGCTGTGCTATTGATTGTTAGCGCTATGAGCATACCTAGTTTGGAGTTTGGCGCTATATAAATAGACAGATTTTTGTCATTATCTTTATGTCATTTACCCCCCAAACAACCCCCAAAAAAACCCCACCAAAACCAAAAAACCCAAACAACAACAAAACAAACAAAACAGTTTCAAATAATAGGAGCATACAAATTCGTTAAGCAGAATCTGAACATTTCATGATGAGTTAAACACATCCAAAAGAACTGAAGCAGCACACAGAGGCTCCGTGTTGTGCGTGGCGATTCTGGTTTATATCACATATAGCGGGTTTTCCTGGGAGACCCTTCCAGCTATGTATGACACTTTATGGAAGAAATTATCATACGTGACATTATTCTGCAACATAGATAATCGAAAATAGTTAAAACAGATCAACGAAAACACTAAAAGCAAGTTTGAAGTACCTACTAGCAATGTTTTGTTTCGTCTACATTTCAATTTAACCCCTACAGCCCAGAGGGGGTAACTTAAACAAGCGACTGTAGTTTCAAATTGCTTTTTTACAAATTGCACTTTAATATCTAAGTTTGAATCTAGCGGACTATCTCAAACACTGCCCAAACCCTGTCATTACGCATTTAGTAGTGCTCATTCCCGTGGACATTAGTGTTTCATATACATACATCTTCAGCGGCGGTGTTTTACGCACCCAAGATGAGGAGCAGTGGCTATATCACGATGCTCGACCCCATTCACCAAAAGCTAGGAGATGTTGCCGGAAGTCTGCTCTTCTTCCCGCAGCTTATGGGAGATGTTTTCTGGTCGGCCGCCATCTTGTCAGCTCTCGGTAAGACACGGGTTTTAGTCCTGACAAACGAAGTTAATCAGCAAATGGTATTTCATTCATGGCTGAGATACCCACTCCAATTATCTTTGATAAACTTCATCCAAAAGAAAGCATACACTAGTGTTTGTTTTATGGAGACTAAACGGAAAAGGAGATAATTGTTCGACAATTACATCCGTGACAGGGTATAAGAAGTGACATCACATGCATCATATCTATTTGTAACTCACAACATGCGACTAGTTTTAGTCTATTCTCTGCGTATTTTTTCATTTGACTGGGACTCTGTTTGTTTTGACTTTCGGACTGTGCCATGCTACAGGGTCAACCATGTCCATTATCCTGGACCTCGACCCTGTCTTGTCTGTCATCGTGTCCAGCTGTGTGGCCGTGTCCTACACCTTCATAGGAGGCCTGTACTCTGTGGCCTACACTGATGTCATCCAGCTCATCTGTCTTTGCGTGGGACTGGTAAGGATATTACAATGCCTTTGAATGAATGGCTAACCCGAATCCTGGTAGGTAAACGTGTAGTAGATGATTGATGTCTATCCTAGGAACACTTACTGGATCTACACTGATGCATGCCATGTATGTATCTGTGGGACTATATACTTGATGCAAGAACGGAAAGATAAGTAATTAGACATAAAACTGTTCATACTGTTAAAGGAAACGTATCATTAACAGCGTGAAAGTAACCATCCATCAAGTTGAAACCCGTAACGGTTTTGAACCGCCTGCGTGGTGTAAGGAACAAGAGTGCGAAATATAAGCCTCCGGGGAAAGTCTATGTTCGATCCCCTGGCCGCGAGAATGAACTTGTTACCCTGCATGACGCACGACATAGGGGAATGAAACAAGGACAGGTCGGAAAGGAATACCGATGCAGTGTCTGAGTGGGGTAATCGGGTTACACCGTGGTTTGGTATTTCATCTTGACAGCACTATCAAACCAACATTAGCCCGGCATAGTACAACATTCCTCAGGTACACGTTGGAATAATCTTTAACACCCCTACGCCTACCCCAAAAAACCATTGTACCTCCTTATATATTTCACATAACAGAAATAGTTCACCTTTATTAGGCCGATTTAGTATTAAGTATATTCGCATGGTTCCAACCAATGGCACATTTTCGATAAAGTAATGTTTCAAATATTAATTTTACAGAGGATTCCAACATAACAATGTCCTGTCATTATGTGTGTGTAATTGCTATACTATTCTTGTACACATTCACGCTCATATGATTCACAACCCTTATGTTCTTATTAAACACAAGGCCATGTGTATATGCTTTAATCGAGGATTCTTTCTTTTAAGGTTGTGTCATGTCCGTTTGCCTTCTTCCACCCATCCGTTGACCTGTCCAGAGTCCAGGACACGTGGCTGGGTGAGCTGCCCACAAACATGATCGGGATATACATTGACTTGTCATGTCAGGTGGTCTTTGGAGGCTTGTCGTGGCAAGTACGTGTTTTATACGCTGCAATTCAGTAATCACTTTGCCACCCAAACTAATAGAATTCGAAATTATAAGGCATAAAAGCCCCCGTGACCAAATAATGGCAAGTATGGGTCCCACAAATATTACTATTTCATTTGTGGTGGCTGCTTGTTTCGCATGTGGTAGCCTCAATGTATGATCAAGTTTAGAGGTGACATGTTTGCATTATCACAAGCAGCCAATGTTTTGCAAAATATGTACAAACTTTCTGCTAGTGAGGTTTCCAGACTCAGTTTAAGTTTTTCCTCTGGTTTTGTGGTTGTTCTAAGTACACACTAAGCCAATGCTGAAAGGAACTAGTAACTTCAGTGTTGTGACTATACTGACGATCACACGAGGAATTTGCGAAAAAAGTCAGCGTGTCCTCCTCTGTCGACATTCTACACGTCACTGACGCATGTATTGCACGCCACCATGCTGACGAGCGAAGCCATCAGCATAATATTAAGTACTTAATAATTCATTTTTTTAAAGCAAAACGTATATATTTGTGAAATATAAATAAAACGTTCATGATGTAAAATAATGACCAGAAGCAATTGTGAAATGTGAAAACGATTAGCTGGAACTGATGCAATACACGTATTGACAATAAATGGCGATGCTCTTTAGAATACCCAGTCTTGATCATCCCTGGAACGAATTCCGTTTGGTGTAAAGGGAAAAATAACTGTGCAGATTATTTGATATGGAACAGTGATGACACCAGGTTAAGCATAACACCCGCTATTTACAAAATGTGCCTTAAACGGAAATAAGTTTTGCCTGATGCCTGTATTATCTTGAATTTCTAAAAACACGAGATAATGTGATCATCTTGATTATGACAATGTCCTGTCCTAACGGCCCGTATGTCTCTTATAAAGTAATACGCACTTTAGTTACGTTGCGCGGCAATACATTGACGTCAATGGCATGACGTCAAATTTGCCAATACGACCAATGCTGCGGGATAGGTTTACAGTTGTTGTACCTGTATATGTGGCTGATAATTTATAAGTTATTTTTCTATATTTTAAACAGTGCTGACTTATGTCATCGCTGTGACAGAGTGTTGTTGGCAGCCTTGGCACTTGTTGATCGCGTTCAGTGTTCACTGCTACATGCTGTTCGCTATACGTTCATAGACAAGCGGTCAATATTCAAATGTAATGAAAAATTTCTGCAAACACCCAGAATTCAGTGTTGACGTGATAGGAAAAAGACTGATATTCTAGTCAAAAGAAGGAATTCTCAGGTTTCCCCATAAATACTGACGTGTTCTGGCAGTGTTTAAATCATGGTGTGTTACGAAAACACAGTATCTTGAAAACTACACTCAAATTACTATTACAGTTCAACATAATTGATAAAGAGATACAAATTACTAGTATGTTTGGGCGTGGACTAAAGACGGGTATGAGTAACGATTCCTACAAGAAAATATGCACACGGAAAAAAATATCGCGACACCCATCATTTGTAACCCCGTAAAGCCCTTTATATTCATGTAATAATTACGTTTGTTTGTATGATTATTACATTATTACACTTATTTTAGATACGTAGGTGCAATACGTTTACCAGTCATTAACCAAATATCAAATTAAGCAATTGCTTGCAATATCGTCCTCCTCAACAGACAACTGCTCAACTAATGGCAGATATTGGTATGCGAATGCTGGCATATCATGTACCGCTATTGCAAGAGATGTTCATTGTCATCCATCGACGATTAGTCGACTGGTTAGAAAACATCAGCAAACCAGGGAGAATAAAGATCTTCTCAGAACCACAAGACTTCATTCGTTCATGTAAAGTGGTGTGTTAAAATAGGCTTCCACCTGGTACAGCACTGACATCCTAGAAAGGGTTGTTGTGCCACATTTCGATGACCATCTTCTGAACGGAAGGCCTGTCGTCATGGACGACTATGCCAGGCAACATCAGTCTCGTGCCGTTGGTTATGTCTTACATCAAGAGGCCGTAGCAAATCTGCCTTGACCCGCAAGGACTCCAGATCTCCCACAGAACATGCTTGGAACATTATGGGTTGCAGCAAACACTAGGGAGATCCTCCAGTACTGCCGTACATGGATGTTATTGCAACTGGTGGAGGTTACGCCACATGTAGACATTGATGCCTATGTGATTTCTTGAGGATTGTATGCCTGAATCTTAAAGAGTTATCGTCATGCGACCAGAATTATAATCACCATAAAAGAGTCAATATTTTGCCCTGATTGGCTCTCTGTATACAGTGTTTAGTTCATTTTGCGTTCAGATTTGCCATCCAATTAATCCTCCAGGGTCATTTTATTCAGATAGTTAAACTGAGGTTTGCTATGGTATTATGTTGATACTATGATAAATATGGGGTGTTACGATACTTTTGGTATATTATACGACTATATTCGTACTTGTATGAGCTATCCTTCACCCCTTGTAACATTCTCTATATGTCTGTTTCTATACAGGTGGCCTGCCACCGAGTGTCATGTGCACCATACAATATGCGATTTAAATCATACCTTGTATCTGTCACTTTGGTAACGCAGATTAACATCTTTCATGCAGGCTTTCTACCAGAGAATTTTGGCTTGCAAGACACCCAGTGTTGCCCGCACAAGTGCGATTCTAGCTGCGATTTGCAGCTTACTTGTTTCCATACCGTCGGCAGCTATCGGAGTAGTCGGGGCAGCAGCAGGTCAGAATGTTAATGATGTTGGAATTAATGTCTAAATTTGAAAAGGATTGGGACGACAAATTCCCCTTTAAAGTCATCTCTGAACTGGGTCAGGTATGATCAAAGTAAGACCCTTTACAACTGAATAAGGACCAGCTGAGAATATTGTTGTCTGCCAATATTTTCATTTATATATAATTTAGCGTGTAAGAAAAAATAAAAGACTCCTATTACATATTTTTCCAGATTGGAATCAGACAGCATACGTAGGCGAAGTCCCGATACCACAAGAATATCACAGCTTTATCCTTCCCATGGTGCTCAACTACCTGTGTCCACTTCCGGTGGCAGTGTTGGGACTTGGTGTGGTGGCTGCTGCTGTCATGTCATCTGCCGACTCCTCTGTCCTCTCCAGTGGAACCATCTTTGCTAAGAATATCTACAAAGATGTCATACGTCCGCAGGTAAAACCAGCTGTGAAGAACACACACATACATAAAGCACAAGAAAGTGTACCCCTTAATGTAGACAAGATCATTCGGCTCTTGGCCCTGTGTCTGTACATGCGAGTCATATAATACATGCTGTATTCGTGGTGTTTTAGTAGTAACCTCTTATGTCTAAATGAAACCGTTTCCTTTCTCCAGGCAAGCGACCGAGAAGTGATTTGGATCTTGAGAGTCGGTATCCTGGTGACTGGTGTATTGTCGTGTATCATTGCCATTTTTGTTAATTCGGTCTATGGACTGTTCTACTTGTGCTCCGACCTCATGTACGTCATCCTCTTCCCCCAACTCACCTGCGTTCTCTGGATCGGGTTCACCAACACCTACGGCTCTCTCGCCGGCTTCTTATTCAGTTTCCTCATCAGAATATCTGGTGGGGACCCTCTGCTCAGCATACCGGCTCTTATCCACTACCCATTTTACTCAGAAGCTGATGGCCAATTATTCCCTTTCAAAACCCTGGCGATGATAGTCAACTTTGTGGCCATCATATCTGTGTCAGCGTTAACTAGGCTTGCGTTCCGACGTGGGTTGCTGCCAATCGGATTAGATTTGTTTAATGTGATGAAGAGAGAAGAGGACGCCAAGAGAGCTGAAGAGCGAGGAGAAAATCTGATGATGAAGGAAAGAGAGGTCGGATACACAGATTTCGCACAAAATAAAAATATGCCACTTCGGGATAATTATTTTCAGTAACCACCAAGAAACAGTTTTGTGCTCGTTATTAGTCATGACCGCACTGGTAATCCACAGAGTCAGTTGATGGAGACCTCAACGTTCAACACAGGACTAGCTCTACTCGAAGAGAGGTTCAGTGTCAGGTTAAATGATATTTCACTGGCCCAGGAGAATGTTAACAACAGTGTATCACAAACGTTGTTACATTGAATGAAAGTATTTTTCTGTCAGTGGTAGTGATGTAATTCCTTACAATGTCAGTAGCCCTATCTCAGAGAAAAATCTCAGTGTTCCAATTTGTATTTTTAGTATCAATAAAGTTGAATCTACGTACTCATGTTTATTGCTCAGTTGTACATTGATTTATACCCAGTAACAAGTACCTGATGTTTGTTTAAAATCCATGAAATCTCCGTCGTTCATTTCCAAGTATCAATTGTGTGATTCTTCTCACAATGTATTGAGAACAGTTCAGTGCAGCAATGGTATACTGCTGTTCATTTGCGAGATGATTGTGTTGCCGAATGTTTCCTCTTCAAAATACTGCAAAAATAATAAAACACTCACGAACGGTCAAAATTCGATGATGCCTTGGGAAAGGTTTTGGAAAGATGGTCAACTGCGCTAAATGAGATTGGTCTGGTTATGGTAAAAGCTTACTTCAAGGGTTCAAGGCAATTTGTTGCAGATGAAATCAAATGCCATTTAAAGTTTTGTTAGTTGTGTGTTGATTATGCCACACTGAACAATATTCCAGTTATATGGCGTTAATCAATGTGTTCATGCCGACATACGGCTTCATAGGGATATTGTAAACCCTGAACCGGTGACAACACGTATCCCGTTTCAACCACTAGTTTGCCGGACCTAGATATGTTTTATTCAAAGTCTTGTGTATCACCGAGGAACTTATATATAAGTCAAAAAGGCAATTTTCAGACAAGGCATATCATGTCAAGCGGAGTTGATCTTCATAGTGAGTGTTCGATGCTTACAACGAGGGAGCTTGCTGGAATGGTGAGTAAGATAGGGATGACATTGCAGTGTTTCTGTAATGCTGACAGTAGCGGAGGTGATTAATAGTTGAGTGTTGGATGGATGCTGATAATGCTGCCTGGTAACTCCACCTGTTGAACAACGTCATCACTGACGACCTGGCCGTTGAAATGGCAACGGATACTGACACGTCCTGCCTGCAGGCTGTCACAATTCCCTCCCCGAACCATCACCACAGGAAGTATTTACCGAATGCAGCTTGGCGCCAATCGTTTCGATAATGTCTGTAATTTTGTGGTCAAATACTCTTGTCAGGTGTATGCCTACTTTTGCCGGACAGTTTATGTAAATTACCTGGTACAACATTGGCAATCGTGTTACCTTGGGCAATTTTGTTGTGAACATTCACTTGGGTTTCGCCAAAGTAATAAACCCCTGTGACTTTCATCCCAACTGAACTGATAGACTCTTCAAAGTTTGTTTGTTTGTTTGTTGTTTAACGCCGCACTCAGCAATATTCCACCTATCCGGTGGCAGTCTGTAGAACATCGAGTCTGGACCAGACAACACAGTGACTGACATCCTGAGCACCGATCTACGCAATTGGATGTATCAACCAAACAAGCGAGCCTGACCACCCGATCCCGTTAACACTTGATGACAAACACGGACGTTTATTTTAATCTTTATTATATCTGTTGTTTTATAAACCTTTTTTCCATTGAACAGGTAAGAATATAAAGAATATACTGATGCTTTGGCTAACACACAAATCTGGCTCGAGTGACAGTGCCGTAGTAACATAGGTCAGAGTTAAGTGTTAGAGAACTAGATGATAATGTAAGGACGTTCTTGTTAACTGCCTCGAAGCAGCAAAGTTACCTCCTCTCACCACTTAGCACCTGAATATGGAGTGTCATGTGTGGTAACTTTCAGTTTGAACCTTATCGTTAAGCTTCCATAATTTACCACACAAGACACTCGATTGGTTCTTGGAATGTGACAGCAGCGGATTGTCTATATCTGTGGATATATGTCCCAAGTCTGTTCCAAGGTAACTGTAACGACGGCTGCAAAATAACTGTGATCAAATACATGGACTGATTGCAACATCATATGATATCCAGACATTTGATCATTTCACTAATAATTAGGATTATTACTATATACCAGTCAGCAGTGAACAGATATCAGTACTTATTTCCATTGTCATTCGCAGTGAAGTATAATGAAAGTTAATAATTGATCACATTGATAAAGTGTGACATTGTCAAATGCACAATTTCCCATAATCAAGGATAAGGGTTAGGATTGGAAGAAACAACAGAACTCACTGGCATTGGATGTCAAGCCACCATCATCACCAGGAACAGAGAGAAACATTACCATTGTACAGTGTGAATCAGAATAGCAATTGGCGAGTTTTTAGCCCACAAGAACAAGGAATTCCGAGAAGACTCCAGATGGGTTTGTGAGGCGTTTGATAAAAAAAAATACATATAAGTAAAATGTATGTTGCATTAGAAAAAATGTATGGACTAAAAACGCAAACAAATGCACTGCTTCAATATCCTGAGACATTTGCTTTTCTCCTTAAACCATCTGCCAGGCACAATGCACACAGGTACACATCAGGGGACATAGAGAATCCAAGGACAGAAGTCTCCATCAAGTTAAAGGCACAATTTCACACATTTTCGACAATATTTTGGCCTATAGTACTTATATCGGGACATATGCACTCACTTTAGCCTCCTATCAATGCAATAGAAGACTTATTATCTCTTACGAATTGCCTGATATCGATAATTGAAACTTCGAGGAACACTTGCCATATATTGAATCAGGGAGACTATATAACGGGGAGTGGTCACTCCTCGAAAAGGCCCTTAGCGTATGCCTCTGCTCGTCACGTGACCAGTGTAGCCAATATGGCGGCAGCTTAGTTTTTAAGATTGAGCCCGGTTTATTTTCCAAAGCTGGTTACATTCGCTGAGTGTTGTGACAACTGAAAACCTACATGTAGAAGATAAGTTACCTATTCTGTCACTTCATTTTAAGTCAAATAATTCTTATTAGTGTCAGTATTAGTACAGTAGATTTTGTAGTAAAGTTTCAAGTCGGCATGTTGTAGCTCACTGCCTTCATTTCGCGGTACACAGCGAAGAAAGACTAAATTCTATCGCTAAAAACTTCTTTCACATATTCGTGTAATTTTAAGAAGGGAAATATACCTTTAGTTGAAAGGTGTTTGCAAGTAAAAGTGATAGTTTTATAACTTTCAAAAAATTGTTAGGGTGTATTTGAGGTGTGTGAGAAATATGACATATCGCGGATCTGATCTGATCCGCCATTGAAATACTACAGGGCGTTGTTTGAGTGTTTCTAGTTATTGTTCTAAAAACTTCTTTCACATATACCTTTAATTTTTATGAGGGGAATATACTATCAGGTGAAAGGTGTTTGCAAGTAATAGTGATAGTTTCATAATTTAAATTTTTTTGTTAGGGTGTATTTGAGGTGTGTGAAAAATGTGACATATCTGTTCTGGTCCGCCATTGAAATACTACAGGGCGATGTTTGAGAGTTTCTAGTTATTGTTCTAAAAACTTCTTTCAGATACACCTTTAAATTTTATGAGGGGAAAATACCATCAGGTGAAAGGTGTTTGCAAGTAATAGGGATAGTTTTATAATTTTAGAAAAATTGTTAGGGTGTATTTTATGTGTGTGAAAAATATGACATATCGCCGATCTGTTCTGATCCGCCATTGATGCTTGTGATGCTTGAGTGTTATAGTTCTAAAACTTTTTTCTTTCGTGTTGATCTTAGTATTTTACAAAACTGGAAAGGTGTTTACAACGCTTTCTGGTAGTTTAAAACTTTCTGTTTTTGGGGTGTGTGTGACAGTGTCAGTTAACATTCTGTCAGTGTCCATGCCATTGCTCTTAATTCTTGCTATAATTAATTAATTCATTCATTCATTTTGTAAAATCCCGACTGATACAATAGACTGGCTGAAGTACTGTTAAACGCAGCCGAATTTGCGCTGGGAATGAACCAAGTCACTGTGTGCGTTGGAGCATGACGAGGCACACGTTAATTAGTACAAATGGTAAAGAAAGCAAGCGAGTGACATATCCCTGTTATAGATTATCCTTGATTTAATGCAAGAAATTGCTCAGTACATCGAAAACTGTTTGGTGCCAGACATTAGCGTCTGCTTCAGGGGCTAAATGCACAAGATGGAAGATTTGGATGTAAGTTATCTTTGCTCGGTAGTTTTTTTGTTTGTTTTTTAAATAATATTTTTTTTTATCCAAAACAGATACGTGCACATTTAGGCTTTACACAGGCAGACGCTGCAATTTTTCATGGAAATAATCCATGGACCGGGGAGCTAAGGCTTTTTAAAGAGGGGACTATTTCGTGTCCGGAACTATTTCTTGCCCGGATGTATTTCAGAGATCCGCTCGCGTGTCAAAACGTGTTCTGGGCGTGTTTTAGGCGATTTCTTGCCCTGAAATACACTTCAAACATCTTTTGCAAATTGAGTTCTTGGGAGGCACAGCCAGTAAGGACCATTTAGACCGACATCGCTGCTTTCAGCTATATTCTAAATACGTATTTGTTTTGGAATAAAATTATATAGTAGCTCCTCTGAGGACTGATAGTACTATTGAGAGAAATGCATTACTAGTATTTATTTTTAGAGAAGTGTATGTGAAATAGTGCCTTTAAATACAGACATCAAAACTGCTACAAGAAATCTGGTTGTGGTTCTAATGGATAACATGTATGTTATGACCGAGTGAGTACGTTAACACTAGTTTCCAGATATTACGTTGGAGCATACCAACAATTTTATCCATTTTAGTCAGTGCATGTCGTTATACCTAAGATTCATCTTCTGATTTTGTGCGTTGTCAATGTCTCCGTTACTATCATCTCGTTCCTTCATCATAAGACTTTCTTCTCGTTCTTCAGCTCTCTTGGCGTCCTTTTCTCTCTTTATCACATTAAACACATCCCATCGGGTTGACAGCCAGCCTCGTCGGAACATATGCCTTGTGAACGCTGACACAGATATGATTCCTGCAAAGTTGACTATCATCGCCAGGGTCTTGACTGGGAACAATTGACCATCAGCTTCTGAGTAAAGTGGAAAGTGAATGAGGGCTGGTATTCCCAGAAGGCCGTCCCCAGCCGCCACTCTCAGAAAGAGGCTGAGGATGTAGCCGGTGAGAGAGCCGTAGGTGTTGGTGAACCCGACCCAGAGAACGCAGGTGAATTGGGGGAACAGAATGACGTACATGAGGTCGGAGCACAAGTAGAACAGTCCGTATACTGACTTCACCATGATGGCTAGGACGCAGGACAATGTACCAGTGACCAGGATACCTACTCTCAAGATCCAAACCACTTCTCGGTCGCTGGCCTAAGAAGGACATCGATATTTACAATTAGTAACAATATTGAATACAGAATGAATTGCATGATATTCTTCAGGCTCATCCGTTTCTTGTTAAATTTTAAGATTTTATTATAATGCATGACCATGCTGTTTAATTTTGTAATACGAATTTTCAAAAGTACCTGTGGACGTATGACATCTTTGTAGATATTCTTAGCAAAGATGGTTCCACTGGAGAGGACCGAGGAGTCGGCAGATGACATTACAGCAGCAGCCACCACACCCAGTCCCAACACTGCCACCGGAAGTGGACACAGGTAGTTGAGCACCATGGGAAGGATAAAGCTGTGATATTCTTGTGGTATTGGGATTTCGCCTTCGTAGGACGTGGCATTCCAATCTACAAAATGAATTTATAAGTATCTAATACATATGACTAAAACTTATAACTGTCAATGCCAACTATGTGTGTGCAATTTCATCTTAACGACTTATCCATTGATGGGTTCAGAGATGAGTTCAGGGATGACTTTTGAAGATTATTGTAAAATTATCGTTGACATCCTGACCTGCGGCTGCCCCGACTACTCCGATAGCTGCCGGGGGTATGGCTAGAAGTAAGCTATTAACCGCTGCCACAATGGAACCTGTCCGAGCAACACTGGGTGTCTTGCAAGCCAATATTCTCTGGTAGAAAACCTGGATAAATATAGGATGTCAATATTGATATAATGCCCATAGGATCCTAGTTGTAATTATTATCAGATATCAGATTGTGTATAGTGTTTTATAAAACAGAAAACGCACGATGTCTACATCTTATTCATGTTGGAGGATGAACAAGGAAGATAGTCCTCATAATATAAGCTGAGAACAGAGATCCCTTTTGTGGGCAGCTCACTCACCCACGGTCGGTGTGCGACGCTCAAATACTATTCTCATTTAGTCACACTGCTAAATCACGCTGATCAGAAAGGATCGAAATCATACGGTAGGTAACAGAAGCATTCTGGGTTCACGTAACTGTCAACGTCTGCAACTTATATACTATTGACGAAATAGCGCACAAAGAGCATCACGGTAAACACCCAGAAGGAGTGACGTCTTTGAAGGCGTAGTTGCCAGCTACACTGGGCTATTTCAACCTTCCGACCTCGAAATAGGACATACTTTCCGAAATAAGTAGTCGACAATGATTTGATATATGATGATAACAAATATCTAGCATACCTGCCATGTTAGACCGCCACCCAAGATTTGACAACAGAGATCTGCATATATACCAATTTTGTTTGTGGGCATTTCACCCACCCACGTGTCCTGGATTCTGGACACGTCAACAGATGGGTGGAAGAAGGCAAACGGACATGACACAATCTGGAACATATACAACACCCTCAGATATGCCAGCGGTGAATCAATCTTTGAAAACAATTCAGCAGGCTATTTTTATTTCTTGACAACTAAACAAGGTCACCTTTCAGTGTTGCACTTTTCGCAGCGACGTAATTACTTTTATCTTGTTAATCATTTATTCCAGCCAGTGTCCGTGCTTTGGGGATTTAATTCATTTGTGTTTTAAGTTACATTGTATACTCTCCATAATCCATTATCAGAGCTTTCTACATTAAGAATGTCACTGCTGCATATATTTAGACCATGATTTCTGTGAAATTTTAGCGCCTTCCAAAACCTTACATACTTAAAACAATTTCGTTGACATATGTCCTGTATATAATTTTCGGTATTTTATGTGTCATGCTACATGTTCATTTAATTTTGAGACAAATTGTCCAGTTGGTAAATGATCTTGTTCTAGCTTATCTTATCTTTTCACAGTGAAAAACAACACCATCCATGTGCCCCAAAGACGCCTTCAGAGCTTGAGGTTGGCCTTAATGTTATATCCTTACCAGCCCCACGCAAAGACAGATGAGCTGGATGACATCAGTGTAGGCCACAGAGTACAGGCCTCCTATGAAAGTGTAGAACACGGCCACACAGCTGGACACGATGATGGATAGAACGGGGTCCAGATCCAGGATGAGGGACATGGTGGACCCTGTAACGCAAGAAATAAGTTAAAGTAAACTGTACATTGTTTCATCGGTAAATGGATGGCACAGTTCAAGAAGGTGATCATATAATCAACCTTGTATATATTTAACACATTATTCTTCTATTTGTTGGGCGTCGACAGTCAAATATTTAGGATCATGACCATCCACAAATCTAATAGGCTTCTGCAATCATCAAATGCAAGCATCTAAAAACATTTATCAGCATATATATATCAAGCTATGTCACTGAGACAGTGTTCATTATAATATACGTTCTTACTCTGTAATTCTCAATGTGTAACCTGGGCCCATGGCCTATATTACTTTTCTGAAATAAACCACCACTACTTGACCATTGCTTTGCATACATCACCCTCGTGACTGGAGAGTTTTACAAAGCCGCAGAAACGTTAAATCTGGAGATTAACCAGTCTTCCAAGGAAAGAGAATCCACTACTGTGAAGGGCAACATGTCGGTAAGAAATTGTGTGAATGGATCATGGAAACCATGATCGCGAGGTTGTTCGAGAAAGAGGTAAACATGTGTTGCCTTACCGGTAGCGCGCCAGTTTATGGCGCATTAGTACATGCTGCTGACACGCAGCCACTCATTATACTCGTATGATCATAGTTATGGAAACACAATGCTATTTAGATAACAGTGTTACACATGCATGTGTTGTATTTGGGATTACACGTTTTTCGGTAAAATACAGAGATGTGACTCAACCCACAACTGTGCTCGAGTCTGTAATCCCAAATATATACTACCCATCAAAAGTTTAGACTCACTTAAAGCACTCGCTATATGTTATATATGCATATATGGTTACATCGAAGATGAATTTCACCACTAGCTTGGGGGAACCAACTGCAAATCTTATGCAGATGAATTGTACGAGAATCATGCCTCAAATTGGTGAAAAGCATATGTTATATGACCATAGTTTTAAATAACAAATGTAACAGTTTTACCCAGAGCTGACAAGATGGCTGCTGTCCAGAAAACGTCTCCCATGAACTGCGGGAAGAAGAGCAGACTTCCTGCCCGATCTCCCAGCTTTTTCTGGATTGGGTCAAACATGGTGATGTACCTTCCTTTCCTCATCTTAGGCGCATAGAACACTCCAACTGTGAATGTATTTCAGTTGATTTGAATGAATCATGGTTTAAATATATTCCCCGACCAATAGAAATGCTGCAATTTCATCAACTATGAATTTGAAACCCTTTTACCAATAAAGATGTTTCAGCTGTTTCAAACTCTACACTGTAAAAAAATCGTAATGTTTCTGCTCTCCTTTCAGTAGATTCGACATAATAAATGGTTGAGAACAGTATTTGATAAGGCTGCAGGAACACCTGTTTAAACCGAACGCCAAGTTGGCAAGACACTTCTAAATAAATATTTAGTACTAGTATATAATAACTGAGAGAATAAAGGATTGGCTATAGACATGGTAAAGTTAGGGTATCGAGGATTTGTCCAAGACAGACATTGTACTGGATCAAAGATGTAAATGTCGTCCCGTCAGGGGAATCCGCCATTACTCCCTGAGCGGTTTCCTGGGGAGAACAGCTCCCTAATATCTGATACGTGCCGCAGGAACCGACTGCACAATCAAGGGGAGGCGTGTTCGGGAGTTAGCTCGTTGTTTGTGCCCGCGGTCAACAGTTGACCAATTAGTGTTTAACAATACCCACGCGGACACACCAGAGGCCATATGTAACCTGTGGGGTGCTTACTATGCTAACCTCGCCATACCACATCATGCTGAAACTTTTGATGATGAATTTAAAGCATCTGTTGATATCAAACTGGCAGATATAATTTCACAACCTGTTGATTCTACTGCTGCTGACGCTGTACTATATGCCGATATCCAGCCATCAGAGTTAAAACAACATCTGGTTAATCTAAAGCGTAACAAATCCCCTGGACCAGATCACGTAAACAATGAACATCTTATCTATGGAGATGACGTACTGGTCGATAAGCTCTGCGTTTTATACAACGCAATTATGAAAGCTGTGTAATTTCCTAATATCTTTAGACTGGGTATGATTGTTCCACTTTATAAAGGAAAAGGTGCAAAATGTGATCCCCAAAACTACAGAGGTATCACCCTAACCTCCTGTATAGGGAAACTATTTGAAAAACTATTACTGTCACGTCTACAATGTTATATAAGCCATATTAATCCCCACTTTCCAGACCCTCTACAGTTTGGATTTAGAAAAGAACATGGTGCAATTATGTCGACGTTCATGCTCAATGATTGCGTAACATATTATGCTGAGCGTGGCTCCCAAGTTTTCTCAGCTTTTCTCGATAATGAGAAAGCTTTTGATCGCATCCGTCATGGCGGTCTATTCTTAAAACTCCACAATTTTGGTATAACGGGTAAAATGTGGAATCTGCTATATCACAGCTACACCTGCAGCTCTTCTTTTGTAATGTACAACGGAAATAGCTCAGACACATTTGAAGTAAAACAAGGTGTAGGGCAAGGTAGAGTCTTGTCTGCATGGTTCTTCCTTGTCTTCATAAACGATTTACTAACTGAATTAAGACTTAGTAACAATGGTATATGTGTATATGGTATTGATGTACCATCAGTCCTGTTAGCCGATGATACGACACTGTTAAGTACCACTCCGTCTGGGCTGCAGAATTCACTTCATATTGTTTCAGAATATGCTTCCAGATGGCGCCTAACATATAATGCATCGAAAAGCACTGTTGTAGTTTTTCGGAAAGGGAAACAATCTTGTCCTGAGCTCACATTCTCCTTTTGCGACACCTCTATTAATATAAGTCCATCAGTAAAATATGGTGGTATCCTACTCTCATCAGATCTGTCTTGTAAAGATAGAGTTTTCGCTAACTGTCAAAAGGCCAGGCAAACCATAAATTCCTTGCGCTCATTGGGTCTTAACAGTACTGACTTACATCCAGTTACATGTGTTAATATATGGAAAAGAATGATTTTACCTACAAGCTTCTATGGTTGTGAAACCATGCCTACGCTATATGGCAAAAACATTGATTTGGTGGAAAATACCCAACGATATTTCGGTAAATGTATTCAAGGGTTCAACAGACGTATGCCAACAGTTTATGTATGTGCCAACCTAGGTCTCTGGACAATGGTTGGGTACATTGACAAGTGTAGATTATTATTCCTTGGAAGATTATGTAATAACGCCTGTAATTCATCAACGAAAACACTGTTCTGTGCATTTTTAGCACTCACTGTTCACTTAAATATTAGCTCACGCAGTATTTGCAACACTCTGTTATGTACATCACGGAAGTATAACCTGCTGGACTATGTATCAACTTACGTGCAAACTGGTATTTTTCCGTCAAAGACAGTTTTTGCGCAAAATAGTTATAAGCTCTGTCTTCTCTTATGAAGAGGCTCAATGGAAATTGAGACTCTCCATTAGAGAGGATATGTCCAGATATGCTGTAATCCATCAAACACTGAATCTACATAGACTTTACACTCTAATGTATCTGTACCCAGAATATAAAGACCATATACAACTTGCTGTACTAGTCGGTTCTAAAGCCAAATTCTCAAAAGAATGTATGCTTGGTAATAAGTACTGCTATGGCCACGATGCCCACATCATTTTGCATTGTGAATCTGTAATGAACCAAATAAATAACTTTTATATGACGCTACTTGACCTACTGGACGCAGAATTATATGTCTTAATTGAAATGCTTGATGATGAAGATGCCCTTGTACTGTTTTGTGGTGCAAAACTTCACATCCCTGGCCTTCATGAAACAGCATGGCAAACGATCATACTGCATTTTTCGAACTACATCTATTCTTTAAAGAATTCCTTGATGTATACTTTCTGAACTATCATTGTTGTGAATATCCGTGCTTTGTACATATCATATGTGGATATATGTAACTAACTGATGTTTGTTTATGTAATCTTCGAATATACTTTTGGAGGAAATAAAGACATTCATTCATTCATTCATTCATTCATTCATTCTTTCATCCATTCATTATATGTCTGTATATTTTCACTGAGTGTCGTTGAAATCCTCTCACCAACGATCATGGATAAGCTGTATAAAATGGGGGCATTGGTCCAGATGAGGCCGCTGTATGCCATGGCTTCCGCTGTGCCGTTGATGTAGCCTCCCCCGATGTTGGTTGCTGAAGACGTGTTAAAACACATTATCATTAATCACATAGATACTTGTTAACCGACCTGTTATCTGCAGAAAAGCGAACTACATAGTTTCAAACACCAGTAAAGAAAGGTAAGCTTGAATGTCATAATGTTTGCATAGCTCCATTCTGAACCATGCCATCAACATAATACCTGCAATTTATATTTTGAAATGAGGGTTTGAATTGTTTTTTTATATTTTTTTACACAAAACAACTGGTTGGTGGTGAGATATGAAATATGTTCGTGTTCTTTCGGGAAAACTATCATTTTAAAATAATGACAATGTAAACTTTGATTGAATTTGTTATAATTTTGGCTACAACTACAATAGCCAGCGATTGTAGGAATGGAATAAATACAGCTGCGGTCCACGCAGGAAGCAAACCTACTGTAGTCCAAATGGCCACTACCATGGAAATCTACCCTCAATGCCGAGCAATTATCTTCAATAGAGAAATAATTCTGAGGTTACATGTTAGTTTTAAATCTATTCTAGTTCTTTTAATCACAATGTGGCTCAAATACCGTCACTATAAATCTCAGCTCATTCTCCCAAGAGGCAGTTAGTACTTTCATGTTACTGAGGGGATAAAACAACACTATCAGTCATTGTAATAGTAGTACCAACACAGGTCAGTCATTGTAATAGTGGTACCCACACATGTCAGTCATTGCAATAGCAGAACCCACACATGTCAGTCATTGTAAAAGTAATACCCACACATGTCAGTCATTGTAATAGAAGAACTCACACATGTCAGTCATTGTAATAGTAGTACCCACACATGTGAGTCATTGTAATAGTAGAACCTACACATGTCAGTCATTTTAATAGTAGAACCTACACATATGGGTAATGGTAATAGTAGAACCCACACATGTATGTCATTGCAATAGTAGAAGCTACACATGTCAGTCATTGTAATAGTAGAACCTACACATGTCAGTCATTGTAATAGTAGAACCTACAGATGTCAGTCATTGTAATAGTAGACCCACACTTGTCAGTCATTTTAATAGTAGAACCCACACATGTCAGTCATTTTAATAGTAGAACCCACACATGTCAGTCATTGTAATAGTAGAACCCACACATGTCAGTCATTGAAATAGTAGAACCTACACATGTCAGTCATTGTAATAGTAGAACGTACACGTCAGTCATTGTAATAGTAGAATCCACACATGTCAGTCATTGTAATAGTAGAACCTACACATGTCAGTCATTGTAAAACTAATACCCCAACATGTAAGTCATAGTAATAGTAGAACCTACACATGTCAGTCAATGTAATAGTAGAACCTACACATGTCAGTCATTGTAATAGTAGACCCCGCACATGTCAGTCATTGTAATAGTAGAACCCACACATGTCAGTCATTGTAATAGTAGAACCTACACATGTCGGCCATTGTAATAGTGGAACCCACACATGTCAATTCTTGCTACAGTAGTACCTACACATGTCAGTCATTGTAATAGTAGAACCCACACATGTCAGTCACTGTAATAGTAGAACCTACACATGTCAGTCATTGTAATAATAGTACACACACATGTCGGTCATTGTAATAGTAGAACCTACACATGTCAGTCATTGTAATAGTAGTACACACACATGTCGGTCATTGTAATAGTAGAGCCCGCACATGTCAGTCATTGTAATAGTAGTACCTACACTTAATAGTCAGAGAAATAGTAGAACCTACACATGTGAGTCATTGTAAAAGTTAGAACCCACACATGTCAGTCATTGTAATAGTAGTACCTGCACTTAATAGTCAGAGAAATAG